ACACATCCTTCGTGCAGAGCAAGAAGAAGGTGTAATAGGCCTGGTGAAGACACAAACCTAGTTTGCTGTCAGATCTCGTAAGTAGACAGATCATATTCATTAGAAGGTTCTATTGAAGTTTGATAGTGTAATTCTTACGTTGATCTAGTGGAAAGGCTATTACACGGATGTGGGCCTCGCAGATGTAGGAGATACTGCTCCGAACTGCGTAAACAAATCTTTGTGTCTTGGTGTGTTTATTATTCTGTTTGTGTGTGTGACTGTTGAAGAAGGTGTTGTAGCATCCTGCGTATTCTAAAGCTGCAACACTTCCTTCAATAACTGTTTTGCCATTGTTTGTTTGCTGTTGTGGTTATTTGCTTGTGAGTGCTGGAATTTCAATTGGTATCGGAGCTTAGTTGAGCTTAAGTTATTAGCTTTCAACGATCACAAATTATGGGAGACATGGAGGAAGGAGCCAGTGTTTTCAGGCCACCCCTGCTGCGTGGTCACAACTACAACTTCTGGAAAGGGCGTATGAGGGCATTCTTGAAATCACAAGGAGGAGGAGTATGGAGAACTGTGGAAACTGGTTGGACAGAACCAGTCAAACACTCGGATGATCTGTCTACGACAACTGTCAAGAAATTTGAAGACTATAACAAAACTGAAGTCCTTGCTGCTGAGAATAATGACAAAGCTTTAAATGCTATTTTTGGTGCAGTTGATGCCACACAATATCGTCTCATCTCAAACTGTGTTAGCGCAAAGGAAGCATGAGATATTCTTGAAGTCACACATGAAGGTGATGAGAAGGTCAAAACTGCAAAGTATCAGATTCTCATGACACAATATGAAAATCTGCGAATGGATGAGAAAGAAACTATTGTAGAATTCCATGGAAGAGTCCGCGACCTTGCAAATCAAGCAGCTAGATTACAGGAGCCATTTCCAGAATCAAAACTTGTTCTAAAGGTGCTGAGATCACTACCAGAGAGGTTTGATATGGATGTCAAAGCAATCTCTCAATCACATGATGCTAAAAAGATGACCCTTGATGCCTTAATGGGTAATCTTGAAACCATTGAATTAAAGATGAAGGAGGATAGCAAGAGACGAAAACCAGAGAAGCAAATTGCCTTTCTGGGAACAGATCTGGAGAATAATTGTGAAGATGGTTTAGCATTTGATGAAGAATTCCAAGAACAGCTGTCTCTATTCACAAAGCAGTTCAAAAAGAAGTGGATTCAAAAGAAGGGAAAGAGTCAAATTCAAGAAGGACCTTCTAAGACGTCCACTTTCAGGGAGTCTCGGTTCAAAGAAGGAAAGCCCTATGATAACAGCTCCAAGTACAAAGGACCGCTGTGCTTTGAATGTGGTGGTCATGGGCACATTCAGACTGAGTGTGCAAACAACCTTAAAAAGAAGAGACAAGCATTTTCAATAACCTGGAGTGATGATGATACTGACGAAGATCAGGGTTGTGAGGAAAGCAACTGTGCTTTTATCTCACAGTCAGAGTCAGATGATCTAGTTGAACAACATATGGATCTTCAAGAAAAGTGGACTGAACTGCTTATGGTTAA